AAAAAATAGAACTTTGATGTCATACAATGATACTTTGGTATTCCTAATTGTTACCAGGAGGCACAATGAGTACCAAAACTGATGAGTACATTTTTCCCATAAGGAATAATGTAGTGAATCACAACGCAGCCAATACCAAGAAGTTCTAGCTTGTGCACTGAATACCAATGAGCACCAGGACTATTTTTTGCGTCAAAATGCATTGAGTACCAAATCTGAGGAGTTACAAAATAGTTGAGTACCAAGGTACCACTGTATATACTGAAAGCAGTAACTTTTGCCATGGATCTTCTGTTTGTCAATTCTAATTGCAGCAGAGTAGAAATGTGAATAGCACATAACTATCAAATCTGTTTCGCAGGACACAACCTACGTGTGATAAACCTTCTCAGCCATAAAGGACCCTCTGATAAGTCGTTTCCTAATGAAAACCCTACTTGCTTTAGATCTCTTCATCACAACCAACCTCTGCCGCCACATTGACTTGTTTTGTGTTTTTGAAAAGGCATCAGGAGATTCTGTAACCAAACACCCCCAGACACAGGCAGAGCAATAAGCTTGAGAAATTGATACTAGAGCAATTACCGATCCCTTGAGTCTTAGCCGATTAATCCCAATTACTTTCAATTTTACAGCAAGTTATTGATTTCTATTCTTTCTTTGAGCATCCAGGCATAACACCTTTAAAATGAGTTTTTGATGACAAATTGTTTATAGGTGGCAACCATGTCACAAGGTTAATGTTGCCCAGTTTCCTTACAGCAGGCAAAGGAAAAGAGAATTGCTGTCCCCTCTCCCTTCCCAAAGGCAACCTTAATGGCTGTGGTAGGTAAGGGAAAGACACTACACATCTCTATGTGTAGCGTGGAAGTCAGTTAATGAGATTCAGGAGGAAGTTGCTTAAGTACTTAAAAAAACCAAAGCTAGCTCAAGACTGAAAAAGCCAAAGTGGATAATATCTCTTTTAAACATACTTTGTTGCATCAGATTAACAGTGGCAGCTTTCTTTTTAGGTTTATGTAGTAAGGTACATAAACTTATATATTACTGAACTGGAGTCACATAATACATTAAGCCAGAGGTGTCAAACTGGCAGCCCGGGGGCCAGACGCACATCCATGCCCACCCTGGCTCCACAACGGCAAAAACCATCACGATACATCATGTGACGCGTTCGAGTTTGACACCCGTGCATTAAGCCAAAACTAGACAGGTAGTGTTATGACTTGGCACGAAGTTGTGGAAACACAGAGGGTTTGAATGTCAATGTATCTTTCAGATTCTATTCTAGGATTAAGGTTTAGCAACATCTGAGCATTCTTTCAATAAATGGTCTTTTCAAAGACTTATGCAGCCCAAAAATTTCCATTCCAACTTTCCAAATTGTATCCATTCATTTGCATTAGAGAGCATGGCACTTACTTGACCAAACCTGGGTGAAGTTGCTTACAAAAAACTGAACAGAGTTTTGGAATTCATAGCAAACATGCCTGTTCTGGGAGAACAAGATTTAAATGCACGCTATCTAGAATATTCAGAGGCATTTCTGGACTGCTATCCAAGGAATCTCCGCCTGCATGAGTGGCTGGCTGTAGGCCAGCATATTAACTATGCTAATCTGTCTTATTTGGCAAATGCTTTGGAGAAGAGGAAGGAATCATTAAGTGCCAGCACTTAATGATCTTTACAGGGTAGAAGGATTTTCTGCATCAATCCAGTTCCCATCAATTCTCTCTGTGGAATATTCTGGGCAATCACCACATTGGAATTAAACAGCACAATCTTGCTTTCCAATACAGTCAGCAAGAATGCCTTACTCGTGGTCAGCGAATCCAGAATCAGCAAATTTGGTCTGCTTCAAGCTATGGCTTCTCTTCCTGTTCCTGATACAACAGTACCATTAACTACTTCTATAATTGCACCAGACGGTTTATTGGAAACTTAAATATTTTCAAGAAATTTCCAAGAGTTTCAAGAACTGTGAGGTGGGACAAAGTGAACCACTGGACATTTGAAAGCATACAGGATTTGCCTCAAAGGCAATAAACTCATGAGTGTTCTTCTGCTAACTTTTCAGCCTTGGCCACAGCTTCCTCAATGGGCCCCACCATATAGAAAGCCTGTTCTGGGAGGTGGTCATATTCTCCTGCAGAGACAAAAAGTCAAAACATTGAAAAATCAGCAAAATCGTTAAGAAGAAACAGATCACGACTACATGCCTTTTCTGCTCATTCTACCGTCATCTAAATAACAAATAGTAACTGAGGCAGAGCACGGTGAGGTTGGGGATGGCTGCTGCTGGTGTGGGAGCGTTTGCAGTAGCCGCTGTAGTGTCTCACACTTCAGGAAGGGTGCTGTGGGCATGTGTGCACAGAACAGAGTACAAGATTCTTTGGGCCTTGTACCCCTTAGCCAGGCTCCTCAGGAGAAAAAGCATCAGAAGCAACTTGTGACCTTTTTTTGCCACCTTCCCCTAAATGGACTTTGTTTGTGGGAAGCTGGCTGGGAAGGTCGCAAATAGTGATCATGTGACTGCAAAATGCTGCAGCCATCATTAAGCACAAACTTGGCTTGCCAGGTGCCCAGATTATGATCGCAATGACCTTAGGCAACGCAGGGACCTTCAATGACCAGTTGTAAGTACTTGTTCAGCACTGCCATAACTTCAAACTATCGCTGAATGAGGGGTTGTCAACTGAGGACTACCTGTATTTATTCGTAATCTCATTACAGGCGGCTATTATTTTCCTAGATTTGAATAGAAAAATGTTGACGGCAATCACTAGACAATTACTTGGAAAAATGCCTATATTACATCTGAAAAGCAATTACCGATTGTAGTGCAGTAGATGCCTTATGAGTAGAATAGGGAAAATTATCAATGAGAAAAGATGGCAACAAAAGACGGCCAGCAGCTTCAGGGGGTTTTCAATTCCAGTTGTCATACATACCTATCAGAATCTGTTGGAATCCTTTGATTGTTTCTTTCAGAGGCACCAGCTTGCCTGCATGGCCAGTAAAGACCTCAGCCACCTGGAAGGGCTGGGACAAAAATCTCTGGATCTTACGGGCACGTGCCACTGTCAGCTTATCCTCTTCAGACAATTCATCCATACCCAAAATAGCGATAATGTCTTGGAGGGATTTGTAGTCCTAGAGAGGAAGCCTACAGGTGAGTTGAGACAGCAAGGGCATCATGGAGTAGATCAAGCCATAGGCCACCCTCTCTACATTCTGCCTCTTCCAAGCGGCTGTTGCTGGTTGGCAGTATCACCAGTCTCACTTGCTATAAAAATGTGTTAATATTCTACATACCCAATTAAAAAGAATGCAAAAAGCATTCACTAATTCGTAAGTTAGGATTCCATGATTTTCACGCCATTCACCTGCAAGATCTTTTGCACCCCACGGGCCACATCGTAATGCTCCTGTCCCACAATATTAGGATCCATGATACGTGAAGTCGAGTCCAGAGGATCTACGGCTGGGTAAATGCCCAGCTCTGCAATGGCACGAGACAGCACAGTGGTGGCATCCAAGTGGGCAAATGTGGTTGCAGGAGCTGGATCTGTCAAGTCATCAGCTGGTACATAGATGGCCTTGGGAGAAAGATGATGATTTATAGGCAGTTTTAATGCTAACCATTAGCAGCTTTGTGTAGCTCTTTATATGGAAGGGGAGCAATTCCATCAGATCCCACAGGGAATGGTGGAGATGAAAATAGAATTGCCTTCCAGAAATGAGACAGTAAACAACGTACACCCTTGAATTGGTAGACAATATAACTGGAGCAACACATTTATAATAGCAAATTACCTGCACAGAGGTGATAGATCCCTTTCTTGTGGTTGTGATTCTCTCCTGCATGGTACCCATATCAGTAGCCAGAGTAGGTTGGTAGCCCACAGCCGAGGGGATTCTACCCAGCAAGGCGGATACCTGGAAGAGAAAATTAAAATCCTCTGCAGTTGCCAAGGTTGTTTCTTTTATACATAGTTTCTTTTATACAACACATCTATGCTTTCCCTGTCCACAATTTAGGAAGATCCTAATCTTAATATTATTAATCTATTCTGTTTTGATTGACAAATTGGTTTAAAGCTCACCTCAGATCCAGCCTGTGTGAAACGGAAGATGTTATCGATGAAGAGCAGCACGTCCTGACCCTCCTGGTCTCTGAAATATTCAGCAACAGTCAAGCCTGTCAAAGCAACTCTGGCACGAGCACCGGGTGGCTCATTCATCTGCCCATAAACAAGAGCCACCTGTGGGAGAGCAAAGAAACTTAAAATAACACAATGTTAACAATAACACACCATTTCATTAGCATGTGGCTAAAATTTTCCTGCTCCATAGCAATAAATTGGTGTACTATCATCTATACCCAGAAATATCCTAGCTGATTTCTTATTATCCTACCAACTCTAATGTCTTTCTGAAACATAATGCAGATTTACTTCTAATAATGCACTACTTCTTCCAGCCTATGTAATTCCTTCGTAGAGTGACTGTCTAATATCTGTACACTTTGTATTTTGTTCAAAATATTCCAGGTGCACTAGAAATATCTTCAGTCCTTGAAACTTTCTCTAGTACTGTCAACCCATGACCCCAAATCAACATTGGAAATTCAGAAGTGCACGCCCTCAAGAATAATGGCCAATTTTGGGTGCAAGCGAGACAGACTAAGCCAACCCATATCACACTTTTGGAGTCTAGGGCCACAGCTAAAGCCTGACTAGTTTGCTCACCTTAGAGGTGGTGTCCTTCAAGTTGATGACACCGGATTCTATCATTTCATGGTACAAATCGTTCCCTTCACGGGTTCTTTCTCCAACACCAGCAAATACTGAGTAGCCACCATGAGCTTTGGCAACATTGTTGATCAGCTCCATGATCAATACAGTCTTGCCTACACCAGCGCCACCAAACAGACCTGAAGAAAAAAGCTGCTTCAGTACTAGAGAACGATCAGGAGCTCCTCTACAATTTCACATTTTCCTTCTCAGAAGATGAATTGCTTCAGCAATCTCAGAAGAACGAAAGTCTAGAGTTTTGCTCATCAGTGAAGGAAAGACAGCTAACATAATGTGTACATAAAACATTGAGACTGGTAATGATTTAAAGTCCATGCTGTGGCAAGGGCAAAGAAGCGGCAAAAACACAACTGGTCACCATTCTACCTCACTTAACTTACCAATTTTACCACCCTTTGCGTATGGGGCAAGAAGGTCCACAACTTTAATGCCAGTCACAAGGATTTCCTGTTCAACGCTCATTTCCACAAACTCAGGTGCTTCTGCATGAATAGCAGCAAACCTGAAAAAGGTGGTCATATGTTAAGTATATCTTTTTCCAAGATGACCCACACTATACTGTTCTCTAAATGCAGACATATATTTCAGTGTCATATTTCATATTAATGTTCGCATTTTTATTTTCTATTTCTTTTCTAATGATCCCTAATATGGAATATTCTTGTCAACTGCAACTATAAGTCAACATTCATTAGGACTCATCTAAGACCATTTTTCTCAGTTAGGTAGACCAGGGTTCCCCAACCTTTCTGGCTTTGCGGACTGGCGGGAGGGGGGAGGAGATGGTTGCTGGCAAGCAGATGCACTCGCCCGCTTCTGCAACCTGGTTCCAAATGGTTCACAGCCCAGTAGTAGGCCACAGCCTGAGGGTTGGAGACCCCCGAGGTAGATAATTGAGGCACCACATATGTGCAAAATTTTTCTTGCCCCTTAAAACGTTTGGGAAGTGGCTTGGAAATCAGTGGGTACACATGTCTCTCCTTTTCCATTTTACTGATGGGATTTTGTGGTTAAAATATAGTTCCCTAGGTGGGGAGGAACATCAAATAAACAAGGCAAACCAAATGATGAATGAAGGTTGCCTTATTGCTTCCTCCAAATTCATGCTTACTGTTTGGTTTTTATTGGACCTCTTTCATCTATTGGCTCTCCAATCACATTCATGATTCTGCCAAGGGTCTCAGGTCCTACAGGAATTCTGATTGGTGCTCCAGAATCCAAAACCTTTTGGCCTCTCACCAAACCTTCAGTACCATCCATAGCAATGGTACGAACAGTATTCTCACCTGGAATAGAAGAAATATAATAGAAGACGCCTTTACCCTAAAAGAATGCATTTGAAAAGTTATTTTTTTACCAATGGGTAAAAATAAAGAATCCAAATAATTTTTAGGCAAGTTGGTAGAAGGTTGTTTATAGAAACAACAAGCCTTCTATTATGTAGGTAATGCCAGCTTTAAAGATACGCAAAATTCATGCAATCAAAAAAATATTTTAACAGAAATCATTTTGGCTGAAAAATTAACTGATATTGAATGCCCAGTTAGACATGCAAAATTTTAAATATTCTTTTATCTGAGAGCTTCGGGGACATATTGAGCCTTGAAACGTAACAGGAGGCTCATAAAAGCTGCTCCACAATATCAATCAATAATGCTAGCCTAAAAGACCTTCCTTTTCAGATCATAAATATGACTTCATTAGGTTCAGAAGAACGAAAGTCATTTTTATTGATCATCACGAGAAGCATTAACAGACTTAAAGTCAGGTTTATCAATGTCATTTACCTAAATGCTGAGCCACTTCTAGCACCAAGCGTGTATCTCTGCCTTGCACCTCAAGGGCATTGAGGATTGGTGGCAGGGCCTCATCGAACTGGACATCAACCACAGCACCAATGACTGCCACAATATGTCCAGTGGCAGTTCCAGCTTTAGCTGCAGGAGCTGTTTGTGCAGCATAGTTCCGGCCTACAAAAGAAAGTACAACCATCATCAGGCAAATTAAGATTCTTAATTATACAACTTCACATTCAGCAACTTATAAACACCTTCCCCTTCCTGAAAAAGATTTAAGATTGAGATTCTCCTCTTTGCAAGATAACATCAAAGAACTTCAGTTTGTAGTTTCATTCCCAGAGTTGTCGAGAGTTGGGCAACATACATTTTATAGATAATTCTGGCAATTATGCAAAATCACTCAAAGCAGCAATCCAGTCAAATATTGTCAAATACAGAACCTTGGGGGAAAATGAGTCTCAGGTTTCCATAATGTTTTGAAGGGATTTTATTCTAACAATATATTAGTACCAAGCTTCAAAGAAAAACTTAGAAATAACTGTTATATGAGACACCTGTATAAGCTATAGAAAGCCAGGCTTTTGCAGTGGTCATCCAGGAGAGTCCCTTGAAGGAAACATTTCCTTATCACAACTGGAATGCTCACAGATCAACAATAAGCTCTGAGAAAGTTCAAAATGCAGATGCCTAAATAGCTTCCTCCCTAACACCAAATTATTGATAAAATAATTTCCTCCTCACAAAGTCTGGATTGTAATACCTCCGGGCCAGGTTATATTGAAGATCTTATCCACTCAAATCCACCCAGGTTATATTGAAGATCTTATCCACTCAAATCCACCCAGGTTATATTGAAGATCTTATCCACTCAAATCCACCCAGGTTATATTGAAGATCTTATCCACCCAAACCAATGAAACCAATGATGAAGCATTGTGGAAAATTCATGGTTGTTTTTTTTTAAAAAAAACTCCTAGATCGATCAAGCCGCGCCCTTAAGACATGGTTATTCCAGCTTGCAGGACTGGCCTAGGGGAAAATTTTTAATGGGGGTTTTAAAGTAATTTTAAATTAATTAGACCAATTATTAATATTTGTTTTTAATTATGTTTTTAATCTGTAGTTTTGGGATTTGCATTTTTATCTGGTTGTTAGCCGCCCTGAGTCCGCAAGGAGAAGGGCGGG